TGAAGTTGCCTCATGCCACAAGTAACCCTTTCAGCGGAAAGCCACACTTCAGCTACATCCTACTACCCTTTTGTCTCTGAGAAACTCTTGACGTCATTGAAGGCTATGTTGTTCATGTTTAAAAAATGAAAGGATCCATTCCCTTCAATCAATGTCACTGAGCATATATAAAGTATGTTGTTATTATTCTTTTAACTTTTGGAGAAAGGAATGGTCTGCCAAAGGATTAGTGACACATGGACCATTTTTGTCATATCACTTCGTCCCCACAAGGGGAGAAATGCCTGCAGCCTTTCATCTTTCAGCTGGGACATATTCAATTCTACCAAAGCTAAAATCATATGTCCTAATCAATGGTGCAAGACTGAACAGAATCGTTATCTTAATAAAAACCTGCCACAACTATTCTGTAGATTAATTTATCACAATTGCAACGCTAAAGTAAAATCCATGACCTTGTGTAGTCTCTCCCTACGGGACACAGTGCTGCCAGTAATGATGGCTACCTTAGATCATAAAGAACAAGGGAATGTGAGCATCAAATCTCTATTAATCATCACACGACCAAGTCTGGTGTACTTTGTTTCAGTGACTCTTATATGGCCCAATGAAGCTTTAACTATAATACCGCTTAATTCCCAACACCAGGAGAATGCGAATAAATCATTGCTTATACTGATTACTGTAAGAACTAAAAAAAATACACTAAATAAAAGTTAGCTGAGGATTTCCTGGCCAACATAAATGACTTTACACACAATTCAGTGAGACAAAATATGGCTGCATCCTCCAGTTTTGCTGATGGTGTGACATTTTCAGCTGTGTGATTTTTTTAGTACCTCCACCAGTTCATTATAGTCTTGGAGACACAGAGAACAAGGTTTGCTCTGATTTGCTTCCTTTTAAAGGTCAAAGAAATGCCAACAAAGTGCCCCAGAGGTCAGTTACCTATTGACTGAGGTCTTGAACACTAATGGCTAACAAAGAAATATACAAATGAGCCTGCCAGCTCCTGACGGCTAAAGTTTTGCATAAACTATAACAGAGTGTTGTCTGTTCTTTTTTCTGCAGTGACTAAAGGGTTACATTTTTTGGTTAAACCTTGTGAACACACACGAGTTAAGGCTATTCCATGACTTCAAATATTTTGGGTAAAGACTTAGTGCTGCATTAAAGGGTTAGTTCACCCAAAAATGAAAATTAAGTCATTAATTACTCACCCCCATGCTGTACCAACCCCGTAAGACCTTCGTTCGTCTTCGGAACACAAATGAAGATATTTTTGATTAAATTTGAGAGCTGTATAACTACCACATTGGCTCCTAAGGGACTGCCTCTTGACGGCCCAAAAAGTCAATGAAGAAAATGTTTAAATATCCCAAGTGACTACCGTGGCTCAACTATATGTTTATCAAGCGACGAGAATACTTTTTGTGCAAAAAAACAAACAAAAATAACGAGTTTATTTGACTATTTCTTTTCTTCCTTGTAGGCCAGAACGAGACTTCCTTAGATTTCCACGACGCATGCGCGAGAATTGCGATCTGCTTACACCAGCTTACGCCACTTCAGATCGCAATTCTCGCGCATGCGTCGTGGAAATCTAAGGAAGTCTCGTTCTGGCCTACAAGGAAGAAAAGAAATAGTCAAATAAACTCGTTATTTTTGTTTGTTTTTTCGCACAAAAAGTATTCGCGTCGCTTGATAAACATATAGTTGAGCCACGGTAGTCACTTGGGATATTTAAACATTTTCTTCATTGACTTTCTGGGCCGTCAAGAGGCAGTCCTTTAGGAGCCAATGTGGTAGTTATACAGCTCTCAAATTTAATCAAAAATATCTTCATTTGTGTTCCGAAGACGAACGAAGGTCTTACGGGGTTGGTACAGCATGGGGGTGAGTAATTAATGACTTAATTTTCATTTTTGGGTGAACTAACCCTTTAAAGCTAATATCATAGCTAATATAAAGCTTCAACAGTGAGGTGCTGTAAAGTGGAATGGAACAGAACCGGGTATCTCAGGAAACATTTAAAAGTTTAATTTATTTTGACTTGAAATTCTTGCCACTTAAGGTGGAAGACATCCATCTAGCATTTTTATAAAAAACAAAAAAAGCAACGCAGATGGACACCAGAACACATTCTGTGTAAGCGGCCACTTAACTCTGTGTAAATGAAACAGTGGAGCCTTTTGAAATTGTCATGACAGTCATAGTTTCATATTATAATCTATATACTCTCTCTCTATATATATATAATTTCACAGCATTATTTCCGAGTATAAATTTTCTATAAATGCATTTATATGCCTTTGAAAAGGCGTAGGCTGCCTGTGTAAATGCAGATGCAGTTTCTGTGCCACATCATTTATGTCTGGATTGTTTCCCAGACAATCCAGTTGAAGCATACAGTATATGCAGACTTCACCTGATCACAAAAGCTGTTTTTATATCTTGTCACTATGCCTTTGAGCCAGAGTACATTGTGATTCTGCCTACAGTATGTAAAAACAAAGCAAAAGTGAATAAGCATGGTTCTCTATAAGTGCTTTTGGATTCCTTAGATATGAAAAAAGCAACGTCAGACCTTATGCAGAGAACTTATTCAATAAGCAAAGTCTTTGAATGGTACTGCCTTTTATAAAGCACCAGCAACCCAATAAATCAGCCACGTTTCCACCTGTACAGTGTCATTTTTAGGTTTAATCAAACACCGAAGAATGCTATTTAGCCACTTGTGCATAAAAAAATCACTGATCTGATTCCCAGTAGAAATCCCTGCAAACATTAAAATGGCCAAGCTATTGCTGGCTTAAACTGCTGTCCATTTTATGTAACATTTGTCTAGATCTACTAACTGGAATACAGTCAGTCAGACCACAAAACTCACTTAGAAGCCGTTGCTTTGTACAAGTGCTCCACTATATTGGTTAGCAGGCAACATGACTCTTGCAGCATTTTGTGATCACAATTTCACCTCTTTCCCATATTATTCCCTGTCCTCTACCATTCCTATCAATAAGAGTGGCAGTATTTCATTTACTTGAAGGCAGTGTTCAATCAACTCTAGCCATACAAAACCCCATAATTCAAATTACAGTTCAGGACACTTTAAAAGTGTAATAATATTTATGTCACACATGCCAAAAGTTATAATCCATCTCTCAGGAGAAAATGATAGGGGATTGCTTTGTTCTGGTAGCCAGGGATCTGTCAGAACGAGATTGTGAGTTCATGTAATAAATATACTCACAGTCTGTAAAATACAATTCAGCCTACATGTAATCTATTTAACAATGTAATGTTCATTTAAGGCGCACTCATTAAGCAGCATGCACAAACTGAGCTACAAAAGAGGTCAACGGTTTCCCACAAGCACTTGCTAAAAGACCACCTGAGACACAGTTGGAGCCCATACGCTAACATCTGCATAAATTCTCAAGTTCAGAATAAAATAAACATGAAAAGCGGTAATTCATGTATAAATCTTTTTTTCTTATTATTAATCAGGTTAACTGACCTACAACTATTAATGTCATTTCAGATTAGCTAGATATGTGCTTCCAGCAGAGCAGCTCCTGTTATGCATGGGCATAAGAGGATGTCTGCTATCCAGAGCAGCTGATCACATAAAACTGACTATACAAGTATGGAGGAACTCTGGTGTTGATCACTGGAGTAGTACTGTGTGTCAGCCACGTTTCAGAACCATGGACAGCAACACTATCTGCACAGCCCACTTTATTTGAGTACTACAAACTTAGATAGTTATGACCCAGTCCTACCTAGTTCCATTTATAAGCAGAAAGGATTGATGGTATATCCCATAGGAGTACATGAACAGTTCTAGTGAATGGCATTGAACATAGAAAATGAAAATGCAAACACTATTTATTCTACTTTCTCTTAGTATAATGATCTCAACACCACTCTAAAGAATGAAGGGAGCAACATCATAATGGCTATTATCATTTATGTTATGTGGGCACCAAATAAAAGCACCATTAAAACAATTAATGAATAATTGACACTGATGAATAATAGATCATTTTATGTTTAGACAACTACTGATGAGTTGGTTAAGTGTTGTTTTTTATTATTTTTTTTATAAAATTTTCAATCACTGTCAAAAATATATACAAAGAATATTGCTTAGAATGTAATTGCTTGTTAAAAGGGACTAATTGGATTGGGGAGGAGGGGTATTTTGTGTCAACTTTTACACTTCATGATCACAAAGCAAATGTGATGGTCTTCTTTCTAAAAACAAATGAAATTAAACAAGCTCTTAAGCACTGAAAGTGTTTTTTTTTTTACAAAGAAAAGTCTTTATTATGAATGAATGAATGAATGAATGAATGAATGAATGAATGACTCTCATCCCTCTATGATGGCTGATGGTTTTAGACAACTCTCCTTTCAACAAGTAGTCCAACGTTTACAAGTTACTAATTCACATAATTTATTAATAACTTCGTTATTCATCTCATGAAGACGGCGAATAAAGACCCTCAGAATAAGGTACAACTCATATTATATTACTTGTCAGCATCATCATTAAACATAAACAAATCATACTGTAATATGTATAATATAGAATATTGTTGCATATCACACAAAAGCAATTTGGTCAAAAACACACCGTATAATAAACCTTCAGAGGCAGTGCGTCTTTAATGCAGCACATCACATTAAATAAATGTATAAATAAAGCTGAACCGATTTCTTAATTTTGATGTCTATTTTGTGTCTATGCTGGTAATGGTATTACTCAAGTCACTACTTATATAATTACACTGCACTGCAACATGAACACACATTTAAAGAGTGACAAAAACAGAGAGTGCAAACCGTGTCATGTTTATCATCGTTCTGCGATTTAAAGTTATTATTTGTCGAATAAAGCCTGCAAAAACTCTTCCCTTCGACGTATTTTACGTTCTAACTCACTGCACACACTTAAGTTTTGTTCAACACGGTGTCATTAATGCAAAACTTACTTTTTCAGTCGTGAATAGACGTGAAATGCCCTCAAGTTCTCAGTCCAGAAGTCTTCTGGACGAACTGAACTTCTTGTCGGTGTCCGTTAAGTTTTGGCGGTTATTCTCAGCACGGTAACGGTCGCTAATTCCGCGGATGCCTTCCCATCTGTTTCGCGCTGGCGGGTTTTTTTTCTCAGTCGCGAGAGGATGATGGAGATGAGCGCGAGCGAGCGAGCGAGCGAACGAACGAACGAACGAAGAGAGAGAGAGAGAGAGAGAGAGAGAGAGAGAGAGAGAGAGAGAGAGAGAGAGAGAGAGAGAGAGAGAGAGAGAGAATGCACGTTAATCTGACAGTCGTTTGTAGGGGTGTGGCCATCTAGTATCATAAGAGAAAATATTAAGAACATAACGCGCTGTCAACAACTGACCATGCAGCAAAGGAAATACGTTTAGACATCATCATAAGGTGAAAGTTTAAGGTCTGGCACTTTCAACTCAAAATAAACTGAAAGTAACTGCCTTATTTCCTTGTGAATGGATGGACGTCATACACAATGTTTACCATTGTCATTATTGGATTAAGATTATTTTATTACTCACCTAGATTATACAAATGTGTATTATAGAGTTGTACTTTATGGCATAAGATTAAAGGAAACTACTCATTTCACGTTTGAATTGAGTTAAACGTGATCAGAGGGACATGTTTTGGATCACGATAATACAGAGAACACATCCTCAGTGAAACAGCTGAGCAGAAGGGGTCAAACGCAGCCACCATGGAGAATTTGTTGTTTCAAGCTACGTTCCTTCTTGCAAGTTTGCCCCTAAGGGTCTAAATGTCTAAAAGAATAAGTTGAAGCATAAGTGTATAGTGTCTGCTTGAGTGGCTTCCCGTGTTCATGCATCTTGCGTAAAAACATATAGTAATGGAACCAAGAAATATGATTCAATCAAGACTACCTTGACTGAATCTATGCTATCCCTTTCTCTGCCATCAAAATCCATCAGAGACCACACTAATCTGCTCAACCTCACAACCATTGACCAATGAAATGGCACAGATTTTGGAGGGTTTTGAATTACTGTTGCATTAAACAAATTAGAGCAGTCTTTCAAAATAGTTGAAAATCAGAAAAATACAATATATGATATCAACACAATGATAGCAACTAAAATGTTAAAATCTTTTCATAGCTTACACAAATAATCTGGTTGAAACTAAAAATACCAGTTTCTGTCACCGTCACATTTAATTAATCTAATTTAACAATAACAAAATAATTCGACAAATAAATTCCAATTCAATATTTTAAACACTCGAAATGGTCCCACTTTATATTAAGTGGCTTTAAGTACTATGTACTTACATTTAAAAATAATTACAATGTACTTATTGTGCTCATGTTGTATTGTAAATCACTTTTGGTGCTATTGAGGTGGGATATGGGTAAGGTTTGGGACAGGTGTGGTGGTATGGGTAGGTTTAAGGGTAGGTTTAAGTGTAAGGGATGGGTCAGCTGTGTAATTACAGATGTAATTACATAAATTAATTATGGCTGTAATTACATGCTGGTATTTTTTAAATATATAAAATGTAATGTAAATGTAAAAATGTAATGTAAATGTAAAAACATGTATGTACACAATAAGTCCATTGTATCAAATTATTAATTTCAATGTAAGTACATGGTACTTAAAGCCACTTAATATAAAGTGGGACCCTTGAAATTAACCTTTGTCTCTATAGTTGTTCATAAAAAGTAATGTTTTAGATGCTGTCAATACACATTGATTGATCACCACCAATGACTAGTTAACCAGTATTACCTCCACTAAGGTGGTCCTCACCTTCATTGGTTTTAATATGAAACCTGCCAGTCAATTCCGAACTCTAAAAACTCCAAAAGCTTTATTTTTCTCGCTTATTTTTATTCCTCGTCTATGTTAAAAATACAAAACTGAGACTGTTTTTGAATATAGGGTAGTGCTCATCTGTGTTATCACAGTGCTCATGCACTGTTAACATCACAAAATTACACAAGCCTGTGTTACTATGGTTACAGATTATCACAGGCAAATATGCACAGCATGAAAATCATGACTGGTGGAATGGAAGGGACACAAAAAAAGTGATGTTTTATGAAAATATACTGAAAATGTTTATAATCATCTATAGAATTGAACTGTAATAAAAGATTAAAGTGGATTCACCGAAATCTTTTAAACATCTTTACACACTGGAAGCATTACAGTATAGTCACCTTAAATGATGCATTATGGCTTCAGAACGAGCATTTATGCTGTGCTGAGCATTCATAAATTCTGAGATGTGACCCACTCCCTATTTATTTAGGGGCACGTCATATATATCATATGAAGCAATCCAATATGTCAGCGGCTCGTACTCCAAGAATAAAGTACGAAACATGGGATTTAAAGGGTTAGTTCACCCATAAATTAAAAAATGGTCATCAAATACTCACCCTCAAGTCGTTCCAAACTCATAAGACTTTCATTCATCTTCGAAACACAGATAAAGATATTTCTGTCACTCCATTGACAGCTACGCAACTACCACTTTATCACTCATACAGAGATATCATAAAGATAAATTATACAAATTGAGGATTTAGTATATATGTAAAGGGGACATGAACATGTACTACATTGTATGAATGACTCAGCTGTGTAAATTCAACAGCTATTTGCTTAAAGGCAACAATTTTAGTGTATATTACTGTGACAGAGTCTGACTTAGGTCACATCCATCAGTGAACTGTTGACCTCTACCCCAAAGCATCTTTCTGTTGGAGGAAAACCTCTCTAATTATAGCTGTCAGAAAAGACACAGCGTATTAGACCTTTAAAAAGAGGCTCTATTTTCTTTCTGATGGCCTAATCAGGGAGGTGTAATCTGAGAAAATGGCTGTGGATGATGATAAAGGTCAACCTGTGCTGTTTGTTGCTGAATATAATCACGTTATCCATTTTCCTAACACCTAGGTGAAGTGTGTTATTTTCCCCCAATGTTTAATTGCTTTCTACTGTCCCAGGTTATTATGCAGAGACTACAAGCTATTAGTAGGTTGAATTGCTGTATAAATCTCGACCAATTCTGTTTTATGGTGCTAGTGGTGCAAAAAATGGCATGCTTCTGCTTTAAAAAGCAATAAAGATCTTGTTGTTATGATCCAGTTACCTGCAGGTTAACCATTTTGTTTGTCTTCCTACCCAGTGTCCATATACAGATACACTTTCTAAGACTGTACAATAAAAGTGTTAGAGGAAAATGTATAAAGACAATGCATCTCTTGGAATTGAATTATATTCCCAGATCAAATCTCTTTGAGAGACGAAGAAAATGAAGATTTGCTTACTTGGAGAGGCACAGCAGACTGACCCAGAAGTGATATAGATCCAGCATGGATGCTGTATTTTCTGAGATAGGATTTCTAAAATGGGAAGATTGCAGGACTGAGGAGGCATTTGGGCTGAATTTAAGTGCTTTGAAAGCTTATAGTCACCTCTCAGCTCTCATTTGTTCTGTTTTGTAGTTCAGCATTCAAAGATAGGAGTTTAAAAGCTTCAGACTGGAGACATAAACACAATTAGGAAGGTGTTAAGTCCCTTTCACATGACTTGCGTCAGAGCTTCAACACAAAAGCGCGGCAGATAGTGCCACAGAAGGGCGAATTTACCATGTTTTGACATTGACTTTCTGCCACGCATTATTTTTTTCTTTGAATGTTATGAAATGCCTTCGGCTTTATGTCTTACACAACTCTTGACCTAACTCTTGCTAAGCTTTAAGGAGAAAAGTGGTAACCTGCAATAGTTACAGTGCTTTAAGGAGATATTCTGATGTAGTTTTGTTTGAGTAACATGTTTTGGTTGATCTGTGATATGTGTGCGTGAGTTACGATATTCCTGTAATTCCTTTCAAGAATATTTATTAAATGAATAAACTGGAAATAAAAATGTTGCATGGTCCCAAAAAGCTATTGCCCCAATCTTACATTTCAGTCATTGCACCATCAAGCGTGATTATTGGACGTTCATTGTTGGAAATATTTAAACATTACACACTTTGTTAAGACTTTTATCCAAACAAATGTACACAGCGTTACAGGCGTACATCTATGGTAATTTCACTAGAAATTGATTGAATTCGTCTTTTTTTGAATTGTATTGAAACCAATTGGGGTGCATTTGACCCGCAACATAAAATCTGACCAAGAATTCAAACCTAATTCAAGGTGAATTTAACTAAGAAATAAGTAACTTGTGCTTTTTACAGTGATTTAAAAAAAATGTACTTGAATAAAATCATTTAATATTGTTACCGCATCAAGCATTGTTACCAAATGCTGATGCAAATGATGCGAAATGGCCTTTAGACTTATTTATAAAAAACTCTGCAGCCATAGCTCTGGGTTTAATGATTGGGAAGCTTCATTTATATTTTATATATTAAGATTTAACATGTTTCCTTAACTGCTTTTGCTGCAGGGTCCTGCTAATTTCACTCTCTCTTGTAGTGATTGAATTATTTGGTAGAGGGCTTATTTGTCACATTCAATGGAAGCATCGTAACATTGTTACAATGTCTTGACAGTAAACCATAATGGATGAGTGTTTCCCTCTATGTTCTTGATCCATAGTGGAGAATGTTTTCACACAGTAATCTCCAGGGAACATTGTCACATTGCACACATTGTACGCATCAACACACAGATATTCAGGACGTAGGCCTATATGTAATGTAGCTTAGCGAGCGGCGCACATGGGATGGCAGAACACTTCCCCGAGGCAGCGTTTTCCACTTTCTACTTTCCTTATGATGTTTCCTTAAGGATTCAAACCGTCTCTGTTTTAGCCACTGCAGCTGCTCTTCCACAAAGACACACTAATGGCAGTTATTTGAACCGTTTTAAGAACAACCTATCATGAATTTTGGATGGATTTTTGACGTTAGCCTGGGAAAACCCAGACAACTTCCAGCAAATTTAGATTTGCTCTGAAAGTTAGTCTGGCAAAGACCTCATTCATGTCCATTTCCAATCCGTCGAAATTGTGGCACCAATCAAAAACGTTGGGGCGGGCTTTACATGATGATGACAGCCTTTTGTAGCCTACATCACTCGTTCGAATCAGCAATCGCATCTGTTTTAAGCAATTTGAACGTTTCCTTTTTTTAAAAAACGAGCAAAAAATTGATCGGTTTTAGGTCTATCCACTACGTCCGTTGGT